TCCATATAAATAGATAGAGAGATTGAGAGCCGCAAAGGAGGAGTTGAGGGAGCATACGAGAGGCTTATGGACGGCTAAAAGGAGAGACAGGTTAAAGGGGGCTGAAGAGGAAAAAACCAGAAGGCTGCAGGGGTTTTGGAGTTGAAAAGGAGAGAGCAACGGAAAGGATGAACCAGGTGACGGCTGGGAAAAAGGGGGTTCTGGTGAGAAGAGAAAACAGCAACGAACGAGAGCATAGAGGGAGGTGGCTAGGGTTCTTGGCAGGAAAAGAGCTACGGTAGAGGTTTTAGAGGGGCTGAGAGTTTGGACGGCTGAAAAAGGTGAAGGAGTGACGGTTGGAAAGCTGAGATTGAAGAGAGGTTTTGGGCATACAAAGAGGCTGACGGGCTGGATAGGAGAGAGCCGAGAGTGATCAAGAGTTTTTCTGCTTGAAAGGGAAGTGAGATGGAGAGAGGGAAGAAGAAACAAGGGGGGAGCGACTGGGTTTTAGAAAAGAACGCAGCTTTGAGGAAGATTAAAACAGAAGAGAGGGAATCGGGGAGATAGAAAAACAAAGCAGGGAAAAGATATCTTCGTTGTGAGGGGTGACGGCTGAACAAACCGGAGGAGAGGTCGGCGACTGAAGAAAAAGAAAGGAACCAAGAGCTGAGTTTGGAGCCGAGAATTGGAGAATCTGAAAGAAAGGAAGCGAACGAAAGCGAAGAGGAGGTTACGGTAAAAGAACGGCAAGAGAGTGGAAGAATGAAGAGAGGAAAAATTGCCACAAATTTCTGCGAAATTTCACGACAAGCAGCCTGGTTCTGTCTCGAATTCAGGCGCAGATGTTAGGTTTCTGAGGAACCTTTTGCTTTCTGCATCTTCTCTGGTCATTGAAGGACAACTTTGGTGTTGAGTAGCTTCCATAAAAAAGGGCCACAAGACTTTCAAAATTCTGCTCTAAGTCTGCCCGTCACTAGTTTCGAATCTTCGTCGGCGAGAATTTGCAAATTTAATCTCTCGGTTTGAAGGCATTCTTCAGAGTTCACGTTCTTAGGTAACCTCCTTCGTTAAGTGTAACTATCCATCCTGTTTTTTTTCCTGTTCATTTCCATCTCTAAATGGAGCCCAGCCTGTTAAGCTGAAACTTAGTTTTGTTTCTTACGAATTAAAATCTGGCCAATGCAAAGTCATAGCAGACCTTCGTTAAAGCAATGGTTGATAACTTTGATCTTCGTTTGAGTAGTTGAAGCCTTGTATTACATGTTTTTCAGTAGATGTTGATGCCATGAAGCTGCGTTTTCCTCTTCCCACTCCCTATCCCAAGTTCACGCATTTGGATTAAGTTGATGGTTGTGAAAAATCTGATTTGAATGTCATGTCTATCATTTGAGTTTATTACCTGGTTTGTTTCTTGACCTGATGCCTTGAAAGGAAATAGAATGAGTGGTGTTTGGGTTTGCAAATTTGTGTTTTAAGCACTTGAGTTATGATCACAATTTTGCTGGAAAATGAACAACTCCAATTGCCGAATGCTGGCTGGACTTTTCTCTAAGCACTGGTGTGTTTTTCTGTTTATGTTTTGGCTCATTAGGACGTTGAATTTGGTAATTTTATTGCTAAGGTCAAGGGCATGATGTTTGTTTAAGATTCTAGCTGTTGTTTGGATGGAAAAGTTGCATTAGAATGACCACAAGAATGGCAAGAAACATTGCTGGAAAATGTACATAGCTGGCCGAACCTTCATGTCTTACGGTTTTAGTCTTTTGTTTACTCTTTCATTTCGGTTCCAAGCTGGTATCTTGTCTAGATGACAGTTCAATCAAGCCTTTTATTGGTTGTTTGCATGAATATGTCTAAGTGCATGAAGAAATTGTATGAGAATGGTTGTGGAAGGAAAGATTTTTCCTGAAGCTGCGAAATGGTTATAGCAGAAATTTTCTTCATGGCATTTGCATGATTTTTCTTTTATGCTTTGGTTTGATTGAATGTTGAAGTTGTTTGCGGAAATGAAGTTGGTTTGATTTGAAAGAATTTTGATTAAGTTTGTGTTGAGGTTGACATTTGTTTTGCGGAAATGAAAGTAGCAATGTTGTTTTGGGCTGCAGAAAGCTTTCGGCAAAAATGATTGTTGCAGAAACAAGTTTCTTACGCTTGTTGCATGAAGATTGCATGAAACAATTTTCTAAGATTAGACTTTGGCCCCTCAAGCTTCCTTTTGTTGCACTATGGCCCAAACAATTGAAAATATTAATCAATTTGATCCTTCAAATTTCCTCTTCCTTTCCAATTGGACCCCCATTTGATGCATATGGACCTGTTTGATTATTTGAGGGGTTTTAGTGGTTCAATTTCATAGCTATTTGTGGTGCCTTAATTTTATTTTTGAAGAACTTGTGTTGTTTGATCATATTTTATCATTAAATTGGTGCATTAATCCTTTGTTTTGATGATTTTAGTCCAAATTAAGTTTAGGCCACCCTATTACCATCACCAAAAAGGGGAAGGTATAATCTCTTTTACCCCTTTTGTTCCTCTTCTATGTGATCAAATGTGCTAAATGAGAATTGCATGTTTACTTGCTTTCCTAGCCTTTCCTTATTTCATTTCATTTATTTCATTTACTTTTGATTTTTATTAATGGGGTATGTGTACACCTCTTGGCTTGTAATAGATAGGGCCTAGATAGTAATTTGGTCCATTTTCCCTTTCCCTTTTGTTTTAGTTAGCAAATGTAATGGTTGCATGCCTATGTGTTATATGTTAAATGCTTTGTTAGGGCCTTGCATCTAGTCGAGCATGCTAAATGTTATGTGCTATGTGTTTATAAGTGTTTGGCATGTCTACTCGCTTTCCATAGCCTGAATAAATGTGATGGATGAATGTACGTTTCCACTAGTCCAACGCTAGTCGGAATTCATAGAATGGGCTAGTCCAATGCTAGACTCTTAGGGATTTCCCCTCATTAGTACATGTTTGCGTGTTCATTACATGTCATGCATTTTTCTTAGTTTATCATTTGGCATGCCCCTCGAACCCCTTTTCCTTTCATTTTAGGATTTTTGCATTTCATGCTAGTTATAGGATTCATTCGCTCGAGAGTCCCCTTAAATATGGGATATAGACGAGTGTGGCTTTTTCTAAGCCTTAGCACGCTTGTATTCCCTCTATAAAAGGGCAAATTGAGTCACGATTTAGGTCTCCCCGTACCCAATATGCATGAATTCCCTAGGCTCATGCATTTCTAAGTCCACTCTATCATTACACTTTCACTTTTCCTCCCATTTGCACACGTACACCTTTTATCCCTTCACTTGCACACGAACACTTTTCCTCCCATTTGCACACGTACACCTTTCATCCCTTCACTTGCACACTTTCACTTTTGTCTCATTTGCACACATGCACCTTTTTATCCCTTCACTTGCACACAAACACTTGTAAATACATTTGCACACCTCCACTTACATCCTATTATTTTTGTTATTTTTCTCACTTCACATATCCTCACATTGCATACATGCATTCCATTCATTTGCATCCCACTCGCATTATTCGTGACTTCTTCAAAGGATCGTTATTGGGCTTCACAATTAATGTGATTGGCACCACTCAACCTTTGAAGAGAAATTTCCCCCAATACCCTTAGGTCTAGGGTTTGCATTCATGTAGTGCATCCAAATGTAATAAATTCTTTGGTTAAAACAAGAAAATCTTTGATTAAATCATGCAACTAGCCTTGGCTAGGTCAAAGGGGTGCCTTGGATTTTATCCTTGCCTTCCCCTTTGTCAAATGTGACTCCCGAACCTTTTTCTTTGGTTCACGTGGACTAGGAGTCGTTTAAAAGGGGTTTCTTACTACTTTTTTCCTATATTTCTTTAAAAATTCATTTTTTGGTGACTTGGTACACCTTAACTCATTACCAAGTGGCGACTCCAATTTTTATTTCAAACCCTTTTTAAACTATAATTTTGGGTCAAATCGTCGCATTCTCAACCCCCCATTTAGACCCATTTTTCTTTTAAATCACAATTCATTTTCCAATCACAAAAAAAAATATACATTTTCAAACCATTTATTTATTTATCAAAAAATGGGGCGCGACACTACAATCGTCCAAAATCACATGAATTAAGCATCACAAGCAGGGTTACAAGTTACTACTCAACTTAGACAAGACTAAGGGAAATAAATGTGATGGTCAACCCATATACCTCTCAAAGATGCTTATAAAAGTTATCCACCACCTCCTCTTGTAAACCTCTTGCACACCAAGCTTTCCAAGTGCTCAAAGAATGATTTAATCGGTTTAGAATCTTGTTTTTTTCACTCAAATGGTTCAAACTCAAGATGAATTGAAGTTGCTTTCTCTTGCTCTCTCTCTCTCTTGCTCACGGCTGGTAGGAATAAATGAGGAGCAATTGTGTGTTTTGTGATGATAAATATGGAGGAAAATTAGTTAGGCAAGAATCCATGGATGGCCGCCATATCACCACCAAAATCCATCTCAATTTTTTTTTCTTTTCCTTGTATTTTTGGGTCAAAAATTTTGGCCAAGAAAGCTGAGGATGAGGGAGATATTTTGCAACAATACCAAAGATATGTGATGGTAGGGAAGTGGTAGTCAAGTGGAGTGTTCAATCAGTAGTGAGCGATACCCGTCGGTTCGGGCCGATTTTTCTTAAATCGCGTATACTAGGGTTTTAACTTATAATTCACTAACTTATTATTATCACTTCTAATCACACACTTAATATCATCTAAAACTCACACTTAATCACCAAATTTGATCCATACTCCGTACCGGATAGTCACACTACGGACAGGCGTAAAAATCCTAATTCGCACTATCTTGAAAACAAAAGGGGAAACCCTGAATTCTATGTTCATTTACACTTATTGTAGGGTGATTCAGTAGTAAGGCTATTATAAAGTAATATTTCTCAAATAAAAGGGGATTTTTAAGAAAAATATAAGTAATTTGCACGTCCTCACACACTCTCTCTCTTAAGAGAATTTCGACCTCAAAATTCATATCTTGAGCTGTAAACAAGTTTGGATACTTCTCTTGCATGTCCTTCTCTAGCTCCCAGGTGGCTTCCTCCACGTCATGGTGTTTCCATAGAACCTTCACTAGTGGAATCTGCTTGTTCCTCAAGTCCTTCACCTTTCTATCCAGTACTCGAATGGGTCGTTCCTCATAGGCTAATGACTTATCGAGTTCAATATCTTCTGGTGGCAAAATGTGAGTCGGATCCAGATGGTATTCCTTAAGCAGAGAAACATGGAAAACGTCATGGATCCAAGACAAACTAGCTGGTAATTCTAGTTGATAAGCCACCTTCCCTATCCGCTGGAGTATATTAAAGGGTCCTATGTACCTCGGTTGCAACTTTTTCCCTTTTCCTCCTTTAATCTTTCCTTTCAATGGAGTAACACGAAGAAATACTTTATCCCCTATCTCAAACTCCAAACCTTTCTTCCGATGATCGGCATAGCTCTTTCGTCGACTTTGAGTTGTTTGAAGCCTCTGACGAATCATCTTTACTTTTTTGTAGGCTTCCTCAACCCAAGGTATTGTAGCTGGATCTATGATCTTTCTCTCTCCTACTTCATCCCAATGGAGTGGAGATCGACATCATCGTCCATACAATACTTCATATGGGGCCATTTGAATAGACGAGTGATAACTATTGTTATATGTGAACTCAACCAGGGTTAGGTATTGGCTCCAACTCCCTCCAAAATCGACTATACAGGCTCTCAGCATATCCTCAAGAGTTTGAATGGTTCTCTCCGATTGTCCATCAGTTTGAGGATGATACGCCGTACTATAGTTCAACTTAGTTCCTAGAGCCTCTTCCAATTTCTGCCAAAATTGAGATACAAATCTGGGGTCTCTATCGGACACGATACTCACTAGTACCCCATGTAATCTCACTACTTCATCCATATAGAGTTTAGCAAGTTTCTCCAATGAATATTTCATATTAATTGGCAATAAATGTGCGGTCTTAGTTAATCGGTCCACTATCACCTAGATTGCATCCTGACCCTTTTGAGTTCATGGTAATCCGATACAAAATCCATTGTTATATGTTCCCACTTCCATTCAGGAATCTCTAAAGGCTGTAATAGACTCGATGATTTTTTATGCTCAGCTTTCACTTGTTGGCACGTAAGACATTTTTGCACAAACTAAGCAATCTCCACCTTTATATTATCCCACCAATACAGACTTTTGAGATCCTAATACATTTTACCACTGCCCGGGTGCACCGTATACTAGAACGGTGTGATTCCTCCAAAATGTCCCTCTTTAACTCTTCATCCCTGGGTACAACGATGCGATTTCGGAACCTTTTTCACTCTTTCTACCCACTTCTGCACTGTTGGTTCTTTCATTTGGCCCTCTTTAATCCGATCCAACTGTGTCGATTTCACCTCAACATTTCCAAAAATAACTTTCTGTGGCTCCAGACGTGGGTTCCATTCACATACATCCTCTAACAAACTCCACTCTCTCACCATTGAACTTGCTAGTTGAGCCTTGCGACTTAAAGCATCTGCTACAACGTTGGCCTTTTCTGGATGGTAGTTAATCGTACAATCATAATCTTCTAAGAACTCTACCCATCGACGTTGCCTTAGGTTTAGCTCCTTCTGGAAAAATAGATACTTAAGGCTCTTATGATATGTGTATACTTCAAATGTCACCCCGTATAAGTAATGCCGCCATTTCTTCAAGGAAAACACAACAGCTGCAAGTTCCAAGTCATGCATTGGATAGTTTTACTCATGAGGCTTTAACTTCCGAGATGCGTAGGCAATCACATTCCTATTTTGCATCAAAACACACCCTAACCCTCTTTCGACGCATCGGTATAGGCCGTATAGCTATCTGTCCCATTAGGCAAAGCTAACACTGGAGCCATGGTCAACTGCTTTTTAAGCTCTTGAAAACCATTCTCACACTTAGCATCCCAAATATACTTTCCTTATTTCTTTGTCAAGTTCATTAGGGGTCCCGTAATTTTCGAGAAGTTCTTTATAAATCGGTGGTAATACCCCGCTAGGCCCAAAAAGCTTCATATTTCAGTAGGATTCTTTGGCCGCTTCCATTTTGCTACAGCTTCCACTTTAGCCGAGTCTACTGTAAGCCCATCCTTTGAAATGATATGGCCTAGGAATGCCACTTTTTCCAGCAAAAATTCACACTTGCTAAACTTGGCGAACAACTGGTGCTCCCTTAGGGTTTGTAATATTGCCCTCAAGTGTTGTTCATACTCCTTCCTTGTCTTCAAATATACTAGGATATCATCAATAAACACCACCACAAACTTATCCAAATTGTGACGACCCCACCTCCCCCTAAGGCGTACCAAAGGGTTCGGCGGACCACCTGCCCAGCTCTCGACAGGACTCACTCACTATCTCGATCGAGTCATGTACACACATCCATGAACCATAAATAATATCCGCAATTCAAGCTTATAATTTACATTGATAGAAATCGAGGTACAAAGCCTCAATACACCAAACTAGTTCAAAACGTATACAATCCAAGTACAACATGTTCCATTCGAGGAATAGCGCGAGTACAAGACCAAAAGTCAAAAGTCAAAACAAAAGGCTACGCTAGTCTTTTACAAGTCTCACGCGTCACTCGTACCCCCTGTAAGGAAAACAAATAGCGTGGTGTGAGCTAAAGCCCAGTGAGGTTCCAAATAGCAAATTGACCATTATTTATAAGTACTAGTTTTCGATATAGCAAAGTAACGAGCATGAAGATTCATAAAGTAAGCAATCTCAAAATGAGCGAGTGTAAAAGTTTTCAGAAGAAACAATAATCCAATAAACAATAATCATTCCAAAGCATAAGGATACGGATGGCTCTCAGGAGCCAACTTCCATTCATCATCAGGGCTTGATCACATAGTAGTTGACACTCCGTCAACTTTCAAGTAAAGGAGCCAATCCAGTAGAACACCACTTACACTACTCTCCGTCCACCATTCACACCCCCTACTGGGCCCAAAATCCTCAATAAACACGGGTGGTAATATCGAGTATACCAATTAGTCGAGGAGATATGACTCCACTCGACAAAGCAAGAGACCCAGGGCTCGTTACCCAACCGACCAAGCCCCTGCCGGCTCGACTAGAGTAACTTGCCACAGGGTTTCTGGAATTCCAGGAAGTGCGCGCATCATAACAAGTATGTCAAGTCAATTGCAACAATAAACAAGTATATATCATGTAAGGGCAAGTGCGATAAAGTACATCTTGCCCTAACAATTCACGCATGTGGCATGTAATCATATTGGCACGTATCAAGTACAAGTATCAAGTTCAATTCAGTATTTGAAAGCACTCACCAAAAGATATAGTGCTTTTACTGGTCACTTTCAGGTTATACTCCGAGTTCGGAGTCCAAATCTGCGATAAAACTCAATTTGAGAACTTTGAAACATGACTAGAGTTCGAAACTTAGACGTTTCGTTCAATAAGAATCAAGAAATTGAAATTCACTCGGACAGTAGTCGTGAAACACTTGCTCGCCTTTTTAAACAGTAAAACTTTGTAATATTTATACTTGAAATTGTCTGCGAGTTGAAAGTACAAGGAAAACATACTTCGAGCAATCATTATTTCATTTCTCAAGGGTACAAGTTCGTCCAAGTCCTAACGTATAACACTCAAGAAACATAGTGGCCAAGGTTCTCGCTAGTTCAAGTAATAAGTACTTAACCTTCACTCAAGTCGCTAATATAGTTTTCTAGTCCTTGAGTAAAAATTCGGGCAGCATGCCCTTTGTGTTTACCTAATTTTCCAGCCTTTTAGGCTTCATTGTTTTTCTCAAACACAACCCAACATTATACATATCAGCAATTCATGTCAAGAGCCGTTCCATAGGCTCACAATATCATAATAACAAGAATCGTATTAAGTACAAGTGCAGAAATTCAATTTAGTTCAAAACAATTTGACGTACAATTACGGAAATAACATATCAGAGGCTACGCTTATCGGATTAAAACAAACCTATGCCGTTTCGAAGCTAAGACACAGAGTACAATATTCATGAAGGTCACTTAGTCCAGTTCCTAATGTAACTTAGTCAAATTCTCGAATTACTAAACCAGAAACCAATTCGTCGGCTGTTTAAATGCAGAACACTGTAATGAACATAACTCAGTGTACACAAGTCCGAATTAGGTGTTCTTAGATGCATTTTAAATCCAATTCAGAATACTACAACTTTCATGTTTTGGCAAAAAGCTAAATCAGAAGGGATCCTAGTCAAAAAATGTGATAAACTGGACTTAACTGATCACACGGACTGCTTAGGAAATACTTAAAGCAGTAAGGTATTTTGGACTTTTCACATCCTACGTTGCTCCGATTGAGCTGAAATTTTGTAGGACCTATAAAATACCATTATCTACAACTTTTATTCTTTGACCTAAGGCCAATTAGGCCTCTATCATATAGATACAAATTCGGACAGAATGTTGAGCAAAAATTCCAGATTCTGAAATTTTGAGTTTCTAATGCAACTTTCCTTAATTTCTTGGTCCAATCACTACCAAAACACCTTATACAACCTCAATTGCAACATATAAGCATTATACAACAATTTGGGCAGAATTTCCACAAGCCCTAGTTCATCATATAAAAAGGGGAAACCTCCAAGAATCATCACAACATCTTGTTTATCTTGTAATCAAGCTACAACATGATCTAAATAACATCTTAAACCCAAAATTTAAAGGAACAAGGGTCATGATCAGACTTTTACCTCAAAGACAAGGCTTGGAAGAGATATACTTCACCCCCTTTGAAATTTCTTAGTTCCTCAAGCTTCCCAACTCACAACCCTCACTTTAATCGGTTTAGAATTTTTGTTTCTCACTTGGATGGTGTAAATCAAGAAGAAAATGGTTGTTTCTTGCTCTCCCTTTTCTCTCTCTCTTGCTCGGCTGTGAAGGTGCAGAAATGAGGAAGAAAGGCTGCTAATATGGTGTTAATAAGACAAGAGGATTAGGACTAATTGTAGCCACAAGTTGGCCTAACACTTGGTTTAATTTCAACCACACAAATTTTCTCTTTCCTTGCTTTTTCTTTGCCTTAATTTCGGCCAATAGGAGAGCTAAGAGGGGGAAGATATTTTGCTCAAGTTCAATAAATTTGTTTGGTAAACAAAAATGGTGGTCAAGTGGTGCGTTCAATCGGTAGTGCGCGGGACCCGCCGGTTAGCGCCGTTTTTCTTAAAAACTCACGTACTAGGGTTTTTACTTCCCATTTACTAACCTTATATCATTGCTACTACTCACATATTTTTTCTCACTTAAAAGTCACTTTTAATCATCAAATTGATCCTTGGCCAGTACCGAAAATTCATCCGGCGGAAAATCGCGAAACCCTAATTCTGCTCAAATATTGGAACCGAAGCGTAAAACCCTATTTTCTAGGTTCATTTGCACTTATCATGGAATAATTGGATAGTAGGGCTTTAATAAATGATAATTTTCAAATAAAAGAAATTTTTAAGAAAACGTGAGGAATTTTCCAATTCCAGTAATTAAAATTAGGGTTTCAATTAAAATATGAGAGATTTAGGAAAACCGGTTAGTCACAAGTAAACTAGGGTTTTTGGCTACAATATTAGGGTTTCTAGTCTTTTTAAACAAAATTAGGTTTTAAATCAAACCCAAAGAAATACACTTTAATATTTTTTTCACAAACAACCTCCTAATATTCGGGATGTTACACAAATAAGGTTTAAACACCCGATGCATTAAATCCATGAATGCCGTTGGGGCATTAGTTAAGCCAAAAGGCATTACTGCAAATTCAAAATACCCATATCGGGTGTTAAAGGCTGTTTTTGGCACATCTTCCTTTCTAATTCTCAATTAATAGTATCCTTGTTGAAGATCCAACTTAGAGAACACCACCGCCCTTTGTAATTGATCAAACAACTCATTAATGTGGGGCAAAGGATACTTATTTTTAACGGTTACTGTATTCAAACCTCGATAATCAATGCATAACCTTAAACTCCCATCCTTCCTTTTAACAAATAGCACTGGAGCTTTCCACGGTGACTCGCTCTCATGTATGAACCCCCGTTCCAACAAGTCTTGCAATTGAATTTTTAACTCCTTAAGTTCAGCGGGTGCTATTCAATAAGGGGTTTTCGAAATGGGAGTAGTTCCGGGTGCTAGGTCAATCTTAAATTCAATTCCCTTTCGGGTGACAATGACCCAACTCCTTCGGAAATACGTCCGGATACTCATTGATTACCGGCATGTCTTCCAGTTTCATTTTTTTCCCGGGGTGTTAACTAGAAAAGCTAAATAACCGCGTGCCCCATGACTAAGCAATTTCTGAGCCCTTATTCCCGAAATGAGTGCAGATGAGGCTAATCTACCCCTCATGTCTAACTTTAACGTTGCCTCACCTGGTATGTAAAACTCGACCACCTTCAACCTACAATCTACCCGAGCATGATAATGTGCTAGCCAATCTATGCCTAGAATAACATCGTACCCTTTAATGGCTAGTCTTATGAGGTTGACTACTAGTTTTCGCTCACCAATCCAAAGATCACAATTTTTATACACCTCATTCGCAAGTAAAGTTTGGTTACCCGTAGGTGTTCTTACTTCTAGGTCATAAGGTAGCCTTTCAACTTTCACATCAATTCCAAGCATAAATGTAAGGCTAACAAAGGAATGAGTGGCACCAGGGTCTATCAGAATTTTGGCTAAATGATGGAAAACATGAATCGTACCTTTCACGACTTCCATTGGCTCAGGCACCGATTGCTGGTCCAACGAATACACCCTGGCCGGTACTCTTGACTTGGTCTCTCCTATGGTGGTCAGTTTTGGGTTTGATTTACCCGCCAACTGAGCATCGCTGATTAGCGGGCAGTTAGAGATCTGGTGCTCCATGCTTTCGTACCTCAGGCACTTCCGGGCCTTTCTCCAGCAATTATCTTCGGTGTGGTTTGATTTTCCACAATATCCACATATTACTCGGGGAGTGGAAGTCTGGCCCCCCTATGGACCACTTCTCCCTTGCCCTCTTCCATCTTGGCCTCCTCTCGGCATACCTCCCCTCGAAGTACCCGTAAACCTTCCACCCTCAGCTCCACGACGGGCTTTAGGGGGTGGTATACTTCGATCACTCTGTGCCGCCCTTTGACTTCCCCCGGACGCCCCTTTTCGTTTAGCGTAAAAATTCCTCACTTGTGCCCTGGCAATCTCGATTCTCTGGGCCTTCTCCAAAACCTCAGTAAAAGTATTGATCTGAGCTGCCGCCAAGGCCTCCTGTATTTCCACATTGAGCCATTGAACAAACCTCCTTATCCTCCTTTGTTCCGTGGCTATCAATTCAGGAGCAAATTTAGACAACTTCGTAAACTGGGTTTCATACTCAGAGACACTCAAAGTTTCCTGCCAGAGCTTAATAAATCGTTCTCTCTCTTCTCCTGAACGATAGGTGGGAGGTATTTTCGTTAAACTCTCGCACGAAATTCACCAAGTCCATGCGGTTCCCTCTCTCTCCCACTTAGCTCTTACTACATTCCACCAAGCCCTGCCCGAACTTTCGAACTGCAAAACGGTGAATTGCACTTGCCTATTCTCCGCATAGTTCAGAGCGGCAAAGATATTGATCATGGTCTCTAACCATCTCTTGGCTTCCTCAGGGTCCGGTCCTCCCAAGAACTTAGGAGGAGAAAGCTTTTGAAATCTCTCGAGGGCTTTATCCTGTCCATATCGGGATCTCTAGGTTGGTTCACAGGGGCTTGACCCTGTTGCTCTACTAAACGCGCAAGAATATTAGTCATTTGCTGGATCGCCATCGCCACCTGATCCCCCCTTCCACTCAGGGTCCAGGTTGCGGCTCTGCCGTTCCACCTGTGACAGCCCCACCTCCCCCTAAGGCGAACCAAAGGGTTTGGCGGGCCGCTTGCCCAGCTCTCGCCGGGACTCACTACAAAACTCAAGCATGAATATAATCGATGGTTCTTAAAAGCTCAAACAGAGTATATTATATCCACCAGTCCAACATACTTCATCTAAATGTTCATAATAATAACTAAAGTACAATCCTTATGTTTGCAATTCAAATCATTCTTACAAAAGTATAATCCCCAAATATCATGAGATTTAGATTCACTTCAACCACAAGTACATCATACCATAAAGTTCACAAATCTTTCAAAATAACCATTACATTCCACAAAGAAAATCAATCACAACCCAGATAAAGGACAATCCACGGTACTCCAAATCCTTGTGCTTGAGTAACTATCCTTCTCGAGTCCTGCATAGAACTAAAATGTTTTTGGGGGTGAGCTAAAGTTTAATGAGGTTTCAAAAGGGAAAGTCAAATATTTATAAACCAGTGCGTAAGTGCTACTTTGAAAACACATGTAGAAGTAGTGCTTTTGCTGGTAACTTTACTATGAGTACAACTCATAAATCATTTAAACTCACTAACGTACATTTGGAATGAATGACCATATAAATATACTTTCATTAATTTTAGTCAAACAAATAGTGGCTCGTCCGACTAGAAGAACATTACAAAGATTGCTTCGTCTCAAAGATTAATGCTCATGAGAAGTCTTACCGAGAAATGTCAACTAGGAGAGTAATAATAGTACTAATAGTAAAGCAAACACAAAAGGATACAATACTCGGTCTGTGACATCCCCACTTCTCCCAAGGGCGAATCCAAGGGTATCCGCGGGACACTCCGTCAACCACATAAGTATCAAATCCGTAGATACACCACTTTTCTTCGAATCCGGTCACCGTTACACCCCCTTACCGGGCCCGCTCATCAAAGTTTTGATAATATTCGATTATATCATGGCAATACTGCACGAGTAATGTCGAGAAAGATCTCTCCAATAGATCATACTCTACGAATATCGCATGGTTGGCTAAGCTTATCGACCAAGCCTATGCTGGCTCGATTCGCAAAGTTAACCAACGAGTTTGGGCGTCCCCCGAATACGAATACAAATATGAATGTAAGTCAATGAGCAACACTCAAATTGACGATTCCAAATAGGAATCACAAATAGGAATCACAAATACGAGTCACATCCATATTACTTTGAACAAATCGAATATGAATTCACATAGCAAAATTCAAATATAATTTCATTTGAAAGAGAACGAGTGTGGTAAAGTACACCCTCGTCTCACAAAGTTCAAATTCATATAACAGATAAGAAACAGTTAACCACATAGCAATAAATTCATACACTTGACACTCACCAATCAAAATAAGAGAGTGAGTGCGTAAACAAGCCTTTAGGTGTTCCCTTCGAGATCCTCGTGAAGGTATCCTTGAGCACCTGAGCAAATAATAGTTATCTATTACACACTATCTCTTGAAAATCCTTTCTTATCAAGAGTGGGATTGTACACTTGTACAATCTAGAAAATACCATGGAATGGGATTTTACTTGCTCAAAATTCATGATTCAAAAGTATGTTTATTAACACAAGGAAAAACTGATTCCTTCATGAAGACAAGTTCAAAATGGTCAATTAGTATCAAAGGATAGGGAAGAGTTTCAAAAACTCAATTCCCATCAAATTTGAAAATTTTCGATTTGAGGTTCAATTTTTGGAAAAATCGTATCTCACTCTCCGTATGTCCAATGTGAGGACTCGCAAATTCCTTGCATATTTCTCAAAAATTCCCTTTTATTTGAAAATTATTTGGAAATTATTATTTCATGTTATCCATGGTTCAATCACCCTAGAAAAGTGCCAATGACCATAGGAAATTAGGGTTTTCCTATTCGTTTTCAATTCAAGGTGAAATCGGATTTTTCGTGTAACCGCAGTATAATTATCCGGTACCGAGTAAGGATCAAATTTGGTGCTTAAGAGTGACTTTTAAGTGATAAATAATATGTGGTTAGAAGCAATGATAAAAAGTTAGTGAATTGGAAGTAAAAACCCTAGTACGTGCGATTTAAGAGAAAACGCGTCACACCGACGTGTACCGTGCACTACCGTTTGAACCACCACTTGACCACCACTTTCTTGCCATACAAGTTTATCATTAATGGAGCAAAATATCTTCCCCCTCTTAGCCCTCCTATTGGCCGAAAATTAGAGGTTAGAAATGCAACAAGAGAGAGAAAAATTTGTGGTCAAGATTAGTCCAAGTGTTAGCCAAACTTGTGGCTAGAATTAATCCTTAGCTTTCCAACCTTCTTATAACACAAGCTTAGCTTAATTTCCTTCATTAATTCTGCATCTTGGCCGAAATAAGAGAGAGAGAGAGAGAGACAAAGAGAGTTCATCTCATTCTCCTTCATTTCTTCTCCAAATCTTGAAAAGTTTCTTCTATTCGCGCAAATCTACTCCGATTAAGTTGTTATCTAGCACAAAGGCTACCTACCGGTGTAATTTTCTTGAGGAACAAAGGCCTCGAACACTTGTTTCTAGTCTCCTTGGAAAGGTATACATGCTGGAACCTTGACTCTCCGATTAAATTCACGATTAGTTGCTAAATATGTCACATATGGTTGAATTATTGAGGTATGTGGTGAAATAGAGGCTTGGGTCATGATTTTCCATTTTATTGGAATATTTTTCAGCTTTCCTATGATTTTTCTAGTGCTTAAAATTTGGGGCTTTGATGTTTAAAGTCTAATATGGGAAGTTAAGATGGTGAAGCAAGCCAAAAATAAAGAAATTAGCATTTGATTTCAAGAATTTCCAGATTTCTGGAATTTCATGTTTCACTTCTGTCCGGTTTTGTAGCCTTATCTTAGAGGCCGAATTGGCCTTAGGTCAAAGAAGGAAAGTTGTAGATAATGGTGTTTTATAGGTGCCTATAAAATTTCAGCTCAATCGGAGCAACGTAGGATGTGAAAAGTCCAAAATACCCTCACTGTTTTAAAAATTTCCCAGCAGTCCGTTTCATCAGTTAAGTCCAGTTTATCACGTTTTTTGACTAGTATTCATTCTGATTTAGCTTTTTGCCAAAACATGAAAGTTGTAGTATTCTGAATTATCTTTCAAATGCCTCTAAGAAAACCTGATTCGGACTTGTGTACTCTGAGATATGTCCATTACAGTGTAATGCATTTAAACAGCCGACGAATTGATTTCTGGTTTAGTAATTTGAGAATTTGACCAAGTTACATTAGAAACTGGACTAAGTGACCTTCATGAACATTGTAGCCCTGTGTCTTAGCTTCGAAACGGCATAAGTTGCGTCTTAATCCGATAAGCGTAGCCTCGGATAAGTTATTTCCGCTTTCATACGTCAAATCTGTCTTTTGCTAAATTGAATTTCTGCACTTGTTATTTCTGTATTTCTTATTCTTATGATATTGTGAGCCTATGGAACGGCTCTTGACTTGAATTGCTTATGTGTGATGTTGGGTTGTGGTTGAGGAAAAATAATGAAGCCAAAATGGCTGGAAAATTAGGTAAACACAAAGGGCATGCTGCCCAAATTTTCGCCCGAAAGCTAAGGTTTATTTGAACTTGTAAAATACTATGACCGTTTTTCCATCTTAAAAACATGATCCTTCTTCAATTGGAAACTCCAAATGTTTACTTACTCTTACCAAATAAAGAGGAGTAGTTTAGGATTTTCTTGAGTATTTTGTCCTCTCTTTTTCATGAATTTCATTAAGACAATTAGTCTATAATATCTACTTGAATATAAGATAAGTTTCAACCACATAAACGATTCCGAAAATGGTATTTCCTAGTCTATCTAGTTGGATTTTGATTTGTCTTTAGTTCAAGTGTTTCCATTAGAAAATTTTATAACCCTTTTGAGTTGGTTTTATGTGTGGTCTATGAAACCCTAGTTATTTTTATCCACGAGTCCAAATGTCCACGTTCCACTTTAAAGTCTTTTTATACGTTCTACTCATCATGCGACGAGTCTCTTTGAT